TGCTGAGCAGGGGAGGAACACAGCCCTCGCCTTTCTCCTGGACAGTTCCTTTCTAGTTTCCTTACCTGACTTAGGGTATGACACCATTACTGTATCTTCGTCCTTTATCACAAATTTAGTACATGCTTCTTTTAGGCCTTCACAGCTCCAACCAACACGGGGGAAAGGTAACCCTTCAAACCACAGGTAGCCATCTGTCATGATGATGATTTCTCTGTGCCCAGTGCTGAGGTTCACAGCATTGGACCTTGTGGGAGATACTGAGATTGGACTTTAAACCCAGTCATACTTTAACGAAAGTTAAAAAAAAAGAAAAAAGTTAATGATTCAAAAGAATCATTAACATTATTGGTGTCAAATTAACTGGTTATAAACCAAATAGTGACTGGCAGTCCAAAGTTTCATTGTGTTGATCAGTTTTGGACTCATTCAGAGAACATGAGCCTGTGACCTCAACATGATCTCACGACAGGACGCCTTGGCGATGCTGCAAAATAACCCCACTGATGAATCCCCGAGACCTGAGAAAGCCACTCTTTCTCATTTATTTGCATTTAAAGAGTTTTCAAAGCAGAATTTTTACATGCAACCGACTGATACAGTGTATAAATAATAGCCTGGAAGCAGACAGAGGGACAGTGGACTGAAGACTCTCAGGCTAAAGGGCAGGAACCTGCTTCAGAGTCAGCAGATAGGAGGGTGGACTGTCACTGACTCCAGGGTCCAGTCCTCCATTACCTTCTGATTAACCTGTGGGAGTGGGCTGCAGGCTGTCAGTGTTTAGGGGCCGAGATGAGAGAATCTTCATGTCTACCACATCAAGGGTCCGTCAAAGCTCTGCCTCATCCTTGGTCGAGCACTCTCAGTGCCAGGGGACTCAGGGACCAACAGCTCCACATAGTCAAGCAACACGCCCATCCAGGGGGCCCATAAATAGCCACCTACTGATTCCAAGAATGCTTCAGGATGCACCTACATCTTTGTCAGTCCCCATGGTCTTCTGACAGCTAAAATGAAAACCGTCTAAGAAATGTAAGCCCCACATTGAAGGCAACAGTGTTTCATGTAGAATGTATGATAACCAGGAGCAAAAACATTGCCACTTTTCCTGTTAATTCTTGGGTGTATCAATAGACTGAGCGCCTGTGTATGACACCAGGAG